AATAAATAACAGCTGTGCACTTGCTGTATGCTGACAGAGATGTGCCCAGCAGGTAAATGGCCATGGATTTAAAGCTATCAGTTATATTCCCTACCAAGTACACTCTGTTTTGAACAGGGGATCTTTGAGGGCCTATGTTCCCGACTTCATTTCCTTCTCAGAAATGAAACCTTTCCATAAGGTGACATTAGAGTGATCTTCGATTCATTGCCACAACATGAATGATCAACTCAAATTCATTTAACCTTCCAGGTATCTGTTTTTAACACCAGTATAATGTAAGAGCCAAGAAAGCCCACTTATCTGTTGGAAACATGCAAATATGATCCCTGGTATGCCTGCTGTTTTATGGATGAGAGCCCTGTTAGAAGGTGTGTTCTGTGAAAGTATCTTTAAACCCCCATCAAAATTTGATTAAAGGCCCTCAGCTAGAATAGGGACCCTGACATTGTCCTTCAACAGTGAGCAGCAGATCGCGTAACATATTGAAGAAGCACGAGATGGATTGAGAACAAATAAGCACATATATCAAGTGTAATGCAAATTGCCATTTTCCTTTGTGAAAATGTATTTAATCTCCAAAAGATATGCAAAGTACCCACCATTTGTGTAATCACACACTATGTCTGCCGATTCATCCACAAATACATAATGGGAACAAGGAAAAAGGAGATTCTGCCACATTCCAGATCTCCAAATGACAGCAAAAAAGCTAAAAGCCTCTCTAAAATCTTTGCTGTCATCTACTGACCATCTGGAGTTTTGAAGTCAAAATTGATCATCCCAGCGTTACTAATTTCTCATCTGTTGCCTCAACAGGAAACTTTAAAATTTTTATTAATGTACTTTAGCAAAACATCAGGTGGCAATTGTCCGTTACCATACTGACTTTGCTAGAAACCGTCCTGCGACCTTCCCAATGTTGTGAGATGCCTCGTCATAAATTAATCCACCCCTGGCGGTATTGTGCAGGTACATACCTTATCCATGATATGAGTAATGACCTAGCAGGTTTCCAGAAATAGACTTTAAATGATATAAATGCTGCTTCACTCTACAGATCCAGCTGCCACTAAATAAAATGAAAGAAACTGGCAATGATAAATTTGCAATCTGGCAAGGAAGTGAACAGGAACACTTGATATTTTCTCTCATTGACCACCAAAGCCAAGGATTATCTGGAAGGGGAAAGGAACATTCTAAAGGGGAGATTCTTTTGCCTTCGCTGGCTAAATCAAGGGGGGGGAGGATTCCTGTCCCCAACCTGTGGGCCATGGCCCACTACTGCTCCGTGGCCTATTTGCAACCGGGCCACAAGTGGCTGGCTGGCGCACGTGTCTGCATACACAGCTCCACTCACGCGAGCATAATGGACGCTCAGGGCCTTACTCGTGCAAGCATCATAGGTGCTCAGGGCCTCACCTGCACAGGTTGTGAGTGCTTGTGGCCCCACTCACATGAGCGCTCAGGGCCTGACTTGTGCAAGTGTTGCGGGCGCTTGCAACCCCACTCGCACAATAGGTGCTCAGTGCGCACACACACGCCTGCCCCTCCCACAAAACCATCCCCATTCCGCCCTCCCCCGTACGGGCCGCCAACATGGAAAGGTTGTGGAACTCTGCTCTAGGGAAGATGTCACCTGGAGGTTAAAAAAGGTCAGCTTGGGAAGGACTTTTGATTTCATTTAAGACTGTAAAGCAGTGGTTCTCAACCTTTTTAATGCCGCGACCCCAACCGGTCGTAAGTCGAGGACTAAACCGGTCATAAGTCGAGGACTAAACTGGTCGTAAGTCGAGGACTACCCAACCGGTCGTAAGTCGAGGACTTTCCCTGCCCGGGAGCGCCGTGCATGCGTGGTTCCGCCCCCTGCGCCGGCCGAGGCGTAGCTGGCAAGCGGCAGAGACGGAGCAGGCCAACCACCAGCTGGCCCAGCCCAAGGGAGGTAAGGCACCCGCCGGAAAAGGGGGAAAAAATGGCGGACAAAAAAAATGGCAGACAAAAAAAAACGGCGGGCAGCCTTTCTTGGTGACCCCTGTGAAATGGTCGATCGACCCCAAATGGGGTCCCGACCCACAGGTTGAGAACCACTACTGTAAAGGAAGAGCCTCTCCACATCTGTAAGTGGAACTCCTGAGCAGTTTAGGAATTGTGGAGTCCTTAGTGCTCTCTGAGCTTGGTGGTCTTCTTGCAGACATTTCATTATCAAACTAGGTAACATCATCAGTATCAATGAGTGTGAGGTTTGCTGCTTGTTTACATACAGTAGCTTGCCCTGCCAGCAATAGTAGTGATGTTACCTCATTTGGTAATGAAATGTCTGCAAGAAAGCAGCCAAGCTTAAGAGAGCGCCGAGGATCCTCCAGTTCAACCCTTAGCTACAAATATTCCCTTCTATCAGTTTAGAAACAAATTCAATGGAAGGAAACAGTAATTATTTTAAAGTACACATCTCCACTGAACAAAGGTCCTCCCCTGCCCAGGAACATAGCCTCTCTCAGTATCTACTCAGATGTAATCCTGACCAAGTGCTGTGGGACCTTCTCCAAGTTAAGTAGATACAGAATTGCAGCTTAAAGGGCATTTAGGGTACAAAACAACAGGAGGTTTTAATTTTTTTTTACATTTTTATTAAAATACTTTAATAAAACAGCTAAATATAGAGTAGGCAATTATCTGTCACTGTACTGACTGTTAAAAACTGCTCAGTGAGCTTATTGGTGTTATAAAATAGTTTGTCTTTCAAATATGAATCGGGGGGGGGGGGGGGGGGAAGGGAGGGGGAGAGAGAGAAAGAGAGAGAGAGGAGAGAGAAAAAGAAAATGCAAACAGGCCTAAATAAGACTCCTCACTTTTGCTTCAGGTCTGGACATCAATAAAGGTCATTCCGTGAGCTGCAGTTTACAAATCTCTTAGGCTTTGTACTTGACCCAGTTTCTGACTCAGATGGCATTCCTCATTGATACTGAACAACTCCCAGGGCAGAACCACTACTTCAAACCAGGACAGGGAGGCAAAGGGGCCTTTTCAACCCTTTCCCTCCACCTGCATTTGTCATAATTGGAATCGGGGTCTACTTGTGACAAGAGGAAAACTCTTATGAATGCCAGTGGGAATTTTCTTCTCCGTGCAAACAACAGGGGAGCATGAGAAAAACACATGAGAAAAACTAAAATGGAGAAATTTTTAAAGTCAATTTTTGCTGAATGCTGTTTAACTTTTTCCTTTCAAAAATTAAGTTAACTTGGCTTATTTATTCCTGGAATTACCAAAAAGGAAAAAAAAATGTTCATCAGTAATTGGTGGTATGTAAGGGCAAAAAATTGGAACATCTCATGTAAAAATACAAATACTAAATAACAGGTGTTACAACGCTGCATTGGGTCTATTAAAATGTCAATATATTAAAACACAAGCACAGGTATCAAGAATGATTTAATGATTAAACACAAAACATAACAATGCAGGTATTTCTGATAAGCTAAGGGTTTTTTTTATTTTTAGCACACACATATTTAGACAGCATATTTTGTTTGAATGGTAAAGCTGCTGTATGAAATATGTGAAAACTTTGCAAATCAATAACTAGAAACCAAGACATGTACATATAAGTCTTGAGAACATTAAACACACACAAACACACACAAACACACTTAGAGGCACACACACAAAGTAAATCAGTGCTGTCTCATTCAGAAACAAGGTGGGGCAGGGATGGGGAGGAATTGACTGAAGAAACAAATCAAATCTGCAAAGACTAATAATTAGTCTCAAACATTAGCTGTATGAGAACATGGTAAACTCATATCTGTATAAATATAAAATCATAAAACTCTTAATATATAAACTTGGACAGACAAGGATGGAGGGAATGGCTTGATACAAAGTACAGATTAGCATGTTAACAGATTAAAACGCCACCATTTTACACAGTATATTTCTTTACAGATACCTGCTTATCAACCAACACTGTAAATATCTCTGTGTGGTTTGTGTGTGGGAGGGAACAATTACAACAGAGATTTCAACAAGCATTTCCAAAATAAATGTCCAATGACACAAGGAACCAGAGAAGAAAAGGATGAAAGGAAACAAACCTCATTTTGTTCCAAGAATTTTTCATATAACTATAGTCTGACATGAGCTAACGCAACACTCTGAAAAGGCAAAAACTGGAAAACATTTACTAGAGGCACATTTCTAAAGTCAATGAGTTGGATCCAAGAGTTGCTTGTGTGAATGGAAGGATTCCTATTTGCACTGGGGCAGATCCCCCACTTTGCAGAAAAGTTTCCCTATACAGACGTAGCCTTCTCTGCCCTACGCTATTCATTCTCAAGTATACTCCGGCTTCAATACTGCAGAGGAAGGGGGGGGGGAGCCAGGGTTCATCCCAAAGTTTTGTTAAAGTTGCAATAACAACTGATTGGCAAAAACTAGGAAAAAATGGGGCAAATGCTAGATTTACCCAGGAATAGCGTTGAAGTGTGGTTGAAACAATGCTGTCCGTCAGGCTCAACATCTGCAATTTTCAGAGATCTGCTTCGTAATTTAATCAAGAGCCCTTTCCTTGGCTCGCCCTGGCCCAACCTGAAGACTCATTCTGTGATTTTTCAAAGTGAGGGGAAGACATGGCGATGAAATGGGAAAAGAACGAGCTGTGCCTTCCTCATCAGGAAGAGAAGAACCCACAGCTGGTTTCATCTGAGATGTTGCCTGTCGCTTTAAAAGGAAGCAGCCACATTTTCAGGATGCAACACTGGGAACGTTGGGTGGGAAAAAGAGAGCAGGCGAACCTCCCCAAGCATCCTGCAATGCTTAAGAGAGTCAGCATCCCATTCTAGACACTGCCAAAGCAAATGCGAAGTTTCTGTGACTTATTAAAAGTTAATGGAGGAAAAAAAATTACTTTTAAAAGGTGAACTGCTGCAGACTTGTTACAAGAAAACAAGAAAAAGAGCAAGTCCTGACCAAACTAAATGGCCATTTTATTTTTTAATTATTATTTTTTTAGCACTGGTGTCATTTCAAACAGAGCATATATAGAAGCATGAGCGCCTTTGAGCGTCACGTCACAGACAGCCCACTGCGTCTCTTTTGATTTGCGAAAGGAATTAAACAACGTTGCACCTCGGCTGAAAAGATGCCTCCCTCAAAACAGGCTGCACACATACTGCGCCAATGATACTTGGTATGGGTGAAGGGTTTAACAGGGGATTTACCCTAGCTTTCCGGGTTTGGTAGATAGACATTTTTATATTCTAGACCTGAAAATAGTCATTTGTAAAAAGGGGTCATTAAGGAGATCGTTATCATCGGTATGGAAATATAATCCCTCCACAGGAAATGAGGCTGTACGCTTGAACATGTGGGGAGACCCACATGTCTATGTATGTGAACTTTTCATCAATGACCCTGTGCTTCTCCGTTTGGTATCCGTACCAGGGCCATAAAAATGCCATTTGAGAAGCTGCTCCCTTAGAATGAAACAGTTCCATACATTTTCAAACTGGTAATTAGATTTTAGGCCCTGCTTTTATTTTGATTTAAGGCATGTGTGTTTTAAACTGCTGAAAAGAAAAAAAGAACTGAATTTTGTCATACAAATTACAGTAACATGCACTATCTACAATTAAAAATATGAGTCTGAATTACAGTTTTGGAATCGTGAATCCTAATTCAGCACCTATTATATTGACTAGTAAGGCAACAGCAGTGTCTGTCATACTACAATAATACCACCTTCCACATTTTATGCTTCAGTCTATGATCCTCCAGGATTATCAACATCATCAACTTTAGCTTATGGACAGTTTCTAGGATGTTTTGCACTGGTTAAATCCTACATAAATCGACACTATTCTAGGCAGGAATAGTTACAGTAGCTGTCAAGAGTTATCAGTGCACAACACACATTGTGCTTACAATCAGATTTTGTTGTTGTTGTTGTTGCCTGGGATATCAGAATAGTTTTTCAGTTTGGTCTTCAATCCTTTCTTTGTTTTATTTGCTTCACATTGTTCCCAAAAGAAGAAAAGCTATTTGTGTGCCCGTTCATAGCAGCTGCGGATCCATTCTGATATTCTTTCCTTCTGGAGGCTGCTTTTTTGTTGTAAGTCTTTAAAACAAAAACCACAAACACACAGAGAGACAGGTCAGTAATAGCTTTTGCCACAGGACCAAAGAGAAGGGGGGGAAAATCAGGGTGTTTTTTATATTATGCTAAGTACCTTCTTCTACTCAGACTGCCTTAAGGGGCAGAGTCTGATTTGTGATCAGAATTAAAGTTTGCTCAAACTACAGTCTCCTGCACAGCAATGAAAAATAAACTCTACTTTATTGGAAAATGTGAACAGAACTTTCTCTTCATACAGCCTATGGGTAGGGGGATGCTCATGCTCATTCAATTCTCCTAATTTCGGGGAGATCCAAAGGTGTTCCTTACTAAATTCAAGAAGTTATCATTGTCCTAAATTTGGGACACAGAACCAGGCTGAATTGAAACAACTTACGATCCCCACCAAACTAACAACTGGAGGGGGAAAAAAAGAGACAAACCATGTCACACTTACTTAAAAAGATCCATTTAATTAGATCACTGTATAATCTTTTAGAACAATATTTAGTGCATTCTATAGCAGGGGTCCCCAACCTCTGGGCCGTGAACCATTTGAAATCGGGCCATGGAAGGGGCGGACAAGTGCATGCGTCCCCACTTGTGCAAGCAGTGGGCGAGTGCATGTGCCCATCACTCACGCAAATGGAGCTGCACGCGTGTGTGCTTGCCCACTGCTCGTGCAAAACCATCCCTTTTCCCTTCCCCCCGCCAATCCACAAAGCCGGAAAGGTTGGGGAACTCTATACCTTTTCAGATGCCTACTAGGACTGTGCAATGTTTCAGATTTGAAGGCCAAAAAGTGCTTTGAGCCAATGGGGTCACAAAAGTAGCCCTGCCTATAAATTCTTAAAGCAACTGTCTTTTCCTGGGATGACTCAGCAATCCTGAAACTGGGAGAAGGCATAATTGGCTTAAGGATCCATAAACGCATAGAATGAAAGACTCTCTCATATTAAAATCCAACTGTCCACAAATTTAAGAAGCATGTTCTGATGCATGAGCCCTTCTAGCAATTTTTTTTTAATCCTGGGGATGGCCACCCCACTCCTCTTCTTCTGGAAAATACCCAACTTAACCTACCTGGACATAGAAATTTGTGAAAAGGATAATCAAGGAGATCATGTAACCAATTTGGAAGTATAACCATCCCATAGGGAAGGAGCAAGGCCAAATGGCGCCACAGGTTGTCTGGATGATTGTCAGAACAAATTGTACCTAGAGGGTAAGAGGAGAAAACGGTTATTTAAGGAAACAGCAAATGCTGTAGTAGCCAAGCAGAGCAGGAATCAATCACAATCACAATCGATCACAATCCTACTGTATGCTCTTATTAAAATCGGCACCACAACTTCCAGCCATTCCGTAAGGAAAATGGGGTGGTGCTCCATTCCAAAAAAATTCAGGCTAACTGGGAGGTTGATACTTCTGACATTCAATTAAACTCAAGCAGTAGTATATAAAACACGAAGGGAGGTTACCCAAAAGATAAAAGTGACTTTTGTGCAAATGAGCAGTGCTTAAAGATAGATTGTCATGAGTCTCAAGGTATCGTTTCAAAATTGCTACAGAAACGGGAAAGTTGGCTGGTCACAGTTCCTCCAACAGGCTGGAAACAGTGAACATGTTGAAAGTGGCCCACTTGACAGTGCCCTCATCAAGATCTCTGTGCTTATTGCAGTACGGGTAGTCCTCAACTGACAGCCATTCGTTTAGTGACCGTTCAAAGTTATAATGGCACCGGAAAAAGGGACTTATGACCATTTTTCACACTTATGACCGTTGCAGCATCCCCATGGTCACGTGATCAAAATCCAGACCCTTGGCAACTGACATGTATTTATGACGGTTGCAGTGTTGCAGGATCGCGTGATGACCTTTCACGACCTTCCGACAAGCAAAGTCAATGGGGAAGGCAGATTCACTTTACAATTGTGTTACTAACTTAACAACTGCGGCAAGAAAGGTTGTAAAATGGGGCCAAACTCACTTAACATCTGTCTCACTTAGCAGCAGACGTTTGGGCTCGATTGCGGTCGTACGTTGAGGACTACCTGTATGTCAAATGGAACTCTTCAGTTGTACATGCCTTTGTACTAAAGGGTGGGACATCTACTGGAGCTTCTGCACCTGCTAAAAATTGCTGTGAAAATTAAAGAATAGGGCAGTCTACTGAACTTTTCCTCTCTTGGACAAGAGTCCCCATAGCTCTGCTATCAGGTCATACGATGAATTTGGATATGTTAACATTTATTACAATGTGCAAATACAGTCCACAGCTAAGCTTGGGGTTAAGGCAAACAGCTTTAACTACAATCAGAAACCAGGAATTTTAGATAACGTACAAGACCCGTGGCCATATGGGTTAAGATCTCATACAGACTTATAAATGTTTGGTTCTTTCCAAAAAGAACTTGCTCCTATTTGTTGAAAAAAGCAACCACAGTTCACTACAACTCACCAGCTGTCCCTGAGTGATGTATTTCTTCCACCAGAGATATGGGCGCATAGATGGGATAACAGATAGTCCATAGTAGGAATACATGAGGACATGAATAAAACTGTTAAGAGTGGCACCAAAATATGCTATGGGTTGTAAGGAGAGAGGGGAAAATGTAGTGAAAACATTATCGCTCTAAATAAGTTATAAAATTAATATTTTACAAACATTTAAAACTTAATCCAAGATTAGAATAAAATTAAAACCTGGAAACACTAAGGAAAGGTGGTTTAATGTCATCTCTGAATTTGAACCGGTTGTAACCTTGTTAATTATAAGAGATTTCTCCCAAAGCTACTTAAGAGTGTGGTTTCTAGGGAATGCTACAAATTGTAATAGCACCGACTTTGTTTATAGGCCATAGTTCAGCCATACACATCAACATTTATTACAATCAGTAGTCAAGCTACATAACCACGGAGATAGAAGAGGCATCTATTTACATCATACTTTGCATCTAAGCATTTACTACCAAAGATGAATGAACTTTGAATGCACAGTGACCGTTTCCTCATCTCTCTCATTTGCTAACCTGGTGCAAACAAGATGAAGTTATTTCCTGCAAGCGCTACGGGCATCTGATGTTAACAGTATGGAAACCTCCACACTGCATGAACATATAACTGATAGCATGTCTGTAAGGGTGACATTAACGTAGAGCTGCTACCGCAGGGAAAAGCTTTTTGATAGCTTCTGCCCGGCATTGTTTTGGACAGTTTGATACCTATTTCCAACTGGTAATTCAGAACATCTAGCACAGTGCAAGTTGGCAGGGGACAAACATCTGGCAACATATAAAGCTAAACAAAATAAGACAAAGAAGTAGCAATCAAGGACAAAAGGTAACTGTGAAGGAGTTAATCAACCAGCCTCACCTTTGGTGACTGAGAATAAAAAAAAGTTTTACCAAATTAACCACAGCTTCGACAAGCGTCATTATAAGCCTTATAAACAATTAGAAACAAAACCCTTTCAATCTAGTGAATTAACAGAATGCATATATAGGTAAATGTCTATGGAGATTCTCAGCCATCCAGGTCATAGTTATCCCAAAGATGCTTTTTCACGAGGCAGCTGGACTTTCTTGTTTTTCTCTGAAGACGTTTCACTTCTCATCCAAGAAGGTTCTTCAGCTTCTCATTTTCCCCACCGTCCAATCAGAGCTGAAGAAGCGTCTTGGATGAGAAGTGAAACGTCTTCAAAGAAAAACAAGAAAGTCCAGTTGCCTCCTGAAAAAGCATCGTTGGCATATATAGATAGTCCTCAACTTATGAACTTTCATTTAGTGACCGTTTGAAGTTACAGCAGCACTGAAAAAAGCGACTTATGACTATTTTTCACACTTATGACCGTTGTAGCATTCCCATGGTCACGTCATCAAAGTTTGGGTGCTGGGCAACTGGTATGTATTTATGACAGTTGCAGTGTCCCAGAGTCATATGATCACCTTTTCCAACCCCTTGACAAGCAAAGTCAATGGGGAAGCCAGATCCACTTAACAACCATGTTACTAATTTAACAGTTGCAGTGATTCACTGAACTCGGGCAAGAAAGGTCGTAAAATGGGGCAAAACTCAATAGCTGTCTAGCTTAGCGCTGGAAATTTCGGGCTCAATTCTGGTCATAAGTCAAGGACTATCTGTACACATGTAATATTTTTTTTAAAAAATGAAACTCTTCTAGATTTAGACACGTGTATATGTATATACAGTATCATAGACACATAGATCACCTCCCATCCAGAGTCTCAAGAATACTTACAGTGGCCACAAGGTACCCAGTTCATAACAAACCACCAAATATTCAACATAGTCGTATGGTGGAACACATGAAGAATGGTGATTTGGTGGTTATTTTTTCGTAATATAAAGAAGAAAGTATCCATAAATTCGATGAGCTTTGAGAAGTAATACCACCAGAGGACCCGTATAATCTGGTAAGAGGAGAAATAGTTCAGATGTTTTGATCCACAAAGACATGTAAAATAAAACTCCGGGGCATATTCTCTGCCTCAAAGGCAGGCGCTAGCTGGGCAAGATCCTAGTGCAGGAGTCCCCAAACCCCGATCCATGGACCAGTACCGGGCCGCGGCATGCCAGCAACCAGGCTGCACAAGCAAGCAAAGCCCCATCCGCGGGACGTAGGCAGCACACAAAACCATGCCCCCTCTGATCCATGGAAAAACCTCTCTCCACGTAACCGGTCCCTGGTGACCAAAAGGTTGGGGACCTCTACCCTAGTGGATCAAGTGCTCCTTCTGATCCACTCTCTGCTAGAGCAGTGTTTCTCAACCTTGACAGCTTGAAGATCGGTGGACTTCAACTCCCAGAATTCGCTGGCTGTCAAGGTTGAGAAACCCTGTGCTAGACCACAGCTTCATTCAGTAGTGTTCTGGGCTTCCAAACACAGGACCATTTCACGGCCAGGTGTTAAATCTTTCCTGTTCAAAGGAAAGAGAGGTGGCTCTACTGTGCAGTCCAAACACTTTGGGCATGTCTGAAGCAGCTATTTGATTATAGGTATAAAACTGAAGCTGTGACTGAAGTAGAAGACACTATAATTTTATGCTTATTAAACTGTAGCTCAGGTGCATCAAAACTCACAAGGGAAATGTTTAATCCTCACATTGCTACAGAGATCCCTGAACAATCTGAGCAAACATGAGTTAAGGCTATTGTATTCCCTAAGCTTTTGCCAGGTTGGAGAGACTGAGATCCAGAGGAAGGTTGATTATGAAGGGAAAGAACTAGTTTTGAGCAAGCTACAGGCAAGCCTATTATGAAATAGCAAGCTAGCCTGTTTTGGTACCCCATGTTGATATCTCACTCAATTAAAACTAAGTTACAGGACAAAGAATAATTAGACTGAAGAATTTGCAAACAAAAGCAAGAATTAGGTGAGAAGATTGACCCCCCCCCTTCCAACAATATGATGGGTAGCTGATGGAAAGAGGTCTTTTTGGCTGAAACCCCAAAATAAAGAATGCAGTACAAGCTTTTAGGGAAAGCCTCAAGACTAATTTCTTTTCCCTGGCATTATCCAGGATTATGAATGTTTTAGGCTCAATTGTTGGGGAATTTTGCAATTTTAGCATTTTAAGAGATATCCCTTTTATTACTGTTACTAGCTTTCAGTAAGTTGTGATGTGTATTGCTTGCTCATTTCTTTCTAATGTTACAAAATTAAGATACATATATTCTGGGGGTTATTAAATCTATCCCTACATAAGAGGCACCTGGTATAACCTAAGGTAGAGAATTAACCACTAGCTCTCTTCATTTTAATGTTTTAGAATTTTTTAAAAAACAAATTCCACGACTGCCCTGCTCTCAAGATTGCACAATCTCATTTTCCCCACTTAAGAGAAGCATTTCAACATCTGATTATGAAAAGAAAGAAATGGATGGGACTGAGTCTCGAACAACTGGAGAGTCTCAGATTAAGAGGTCAACCATACATCACTACAGAGTCTTGAAAAGCTTTTTATTCCTTTTGCATGCAATTCTCCTAGAGCCACACTGATAGATTATTGTGGTTGGTTACCTGAGGGTTCCAAAACCTATTCAGTCACAAAACTGCCTTTTGAACACTACAACTCTCAATATAGTTGTATCACTTGACATACTCCTCCTGTATGATACAATACTCTGTTTGGACGAAAGGCAAGATAAAGATGCTCAATTCAAATGTAGTTATATGAATCAGATAATTCCTAGTGAATAATTTAATTTGGGAAGAAGTTCTGAACTGATACTTCCTTGTTAGTGTGACACGAAAAAGAGAGGTTGACAGGCCTGGCTCCTTTGCTGACACCAGGTATATAATAGAAATGGGGAGGACAGATTATAGGACTCTAAATTGTTCTGGCTCTAAGCAAAAATTTGGCAAGCCAGGATTCAGACTGCAAATCAATCTAAAAATTCCTAAACAGAGTTTTTGCACATTTTAAAAAAAGGATAATGGTACTGAAATTTCAAAACAATGTCTGCTGAAATGATCACATGATGTTGATCAGATTACAACTGGGAAAGTGCATATTTGAATATTGCAGATAATGGCTTATATCCAAGTTCCATCTTAGCCTATTTTGAGGTGCTCATTTTAAAAATGAGATTAAAAAAAAAAATAGCAGTACTCCGTGATTATCTACAGCCTCCAAAGAACCATTAGGCTCGTATCAATGATTCTTCTAAATGCCATTTCAGATTAAAGGAGACTTTAAAACCTCGCAAAATAAAGGCTAAACATTTCAAATAGATGAGGTTGGTCTATTGATTCCTGGAATTGCTATTGAAATTGAAAGTCTAAAAATGTATCTTATTACAATTATTTTTAGTCTGACTTTTAGAATAGAGCCCTGCCAAGGAGACACATAGAAAAAATGATAAACACTAATGATAGCAATTGCAAGCAAGACAGCAGCCTCAAATTACAATTTAAGAAAAATTCAAGACTAAATGGAAAAGAAGAAAACAAGTTTGAACTTTAGAAAAGAATGGATTCAGGGGAGAAGATTGGATGGAACACATGAGCTCCCAATGGAAGTTCATCAAGAAAAACTCAGTGAGGGTTGCTCAAACTTTCTGACCTATCTCTTCAACCTTAAAAAAAAATATAAAATATGGAAGGCTATTTTCTTTCAAGCAATTAATGTACAAAACAGACAAATCAGAAGTGGAAATCAGAAGAGCGTATTCCAAAGGAGAGCAAGATGGGCATTAAAAGCATCTTTCCTAAAGCGAATCACGTCGACAACACTTCGGAGGTATTAATTAGGATGTACGGTATTCCCCATTTCTGCAATGCAGCCAAACTTTTATGAACTGACTCATTAGATTTTTTGCTATTTAACTCCCTGCCACTAGTTCCAAGTATTGTTCCATTTGAAGTGTTCCATGCAAATACCTGTGTTTTATCAGAAGTGCGCTATGAAACCCAAGAGCTTGAAAATGAAGGAGTAACACTTGAATTTCTAATGCACTCCTGCAGGTTTTCAGGGATGGTATTATGTTCAGGCAGTATGTTGTGAGCAAAGGCAAATTTTAAGAAGGGGTTTTACATTTTAAAAAGGATTATTATTTTCAACTGCAGACTTACTTAAGAGTTGCTGTTTAAGAGAGTTTTGCTTATAACAAAAATCTTTCTGGGTAATCAGAAACATTCCATATCCTATTTCTTGTAGGAAAGACAAAATAAATGGTTCCAATGATGGTGTTTTTGCTCTAAACCAGGGGTCCTCAACCTTGGCAACTTTAAGACTTGTGGACTTCAACTCCCAGCAAAGCTGGCTGAGGAATTCTGGGAGCTGAAGTCCACAAGACTTAAAGTTGCCAAGGTTGAAGACCCCTGCTCTAAACACTTTTGCAGGTGAAACATTTATTTGTGTTGTTATCAGGAAGGCCCAGGTTCCATTCCTCACCCAGCCTTAAAATACTAAATAACCTATCAAGCCCTTCCATCCAAATTGGACTCATATGGTTGTTAGGAAACTGGGTTGCTTAAAGCCATTTACTAATAATAAATATTACTATTTACTACTATTACTACTATTACAATTTCACTTCAAAGGTAAAATTACCCTTTAAAAAACTTATACAGTATATTTTTGAATTAAAAAAAGTAATAAATTAAACAAATCAGTAGATTTAGAGCAGTGATGGCGAACCTTTTAGAGACCGAGTGCCCAAACTGCAACCCAAAGCCCACTTATGCATCGTCAAGTGCCGGGCGGGTGTGGCCCATTGGCTGGGTGTGGCCAATTGGGTGGGCGTGGCCAATTGGGTGGGCATGGCTGCAGTGCTAACGGCAGACTGGGTGGGACTAAAAAGTTCAATCAATCAATTCCAACTTTGCAAGATCTTTTTTTTCCCGCGAGAAGTTGAAATTGATTGATTGATTGAACCTTTTTTTTTTTACACACGGCAGCGGAAGCCTAAAGCGAAAAGGTTTTATAAAACCCAGCTGAAGGCCTAGGACTGGGGGGACGGCGCACGTGCCCACGGAGAGGGCTCCGAGTGCCGCCTCTGGCACCCGTGCCATAGGTTTGCCACCACTGATTTAGAGTGTAGTACCAGCCAGATCATATTGCTCTTTAAGCAGCCAGTTCTGACTTTTTTTCCCTGTTAATTTATAAAAGTAAACCGAGTGAGTTTTATTGCAGACTACTTTACCTACTTCTCCTACATTAATAAGCCATGATATATTAGTAAATCTTTCCCATGCAAGAGCCACACCCATCTAGCATCCTGGCTGAAGGAAGAGAGATCAAGTTATTGTTCAAGGCCTATTATGGGTTACATTACTGGTAAACCCTTGCTAGCTTGAACAATGAAAGAAGACATCTACATACACCTTCTGCAAATGTTTGTCTTCCAACTCTTATGACAGGTCTTCATTTAGAGAGATTTACACAAGCGTCGCTTCCTTTTGCAAGGCGTTGTTAGCAGGCAATCGAAATTAAAGGCTTAGTCGCCTTTTCCGACAGATGATTCAGATAAAGTAGACTTCAGCCATGCTAGCTGGAATGGAAGGAGTGGATTCTCAGCACATTTGGAAAACATGAGGTTGGGTGGAAGAGCTAGAAGATCATCCTTCCCAGGCAAGCACGCTCACACCTGTAGGAACTGTCTTCTTCAAGAGATAAAATAAAGCAGCAGAGGCAGCTTGGGACATTACCTTCATATCAGCTTCACCTCCACTGTGCGTATCCTGACAGAAGAAATTGTATCCTCCTTCCCATACGCCCGTCACCAGCTAGTGCAAAACAAACATTTGGTCAGTAGACAGCAGGCGCTGACAAAGCGATACCATCAAATCTTGAAAGAATCCAAATCATATCCAAGACAACCCAGAAAAAGAAGGATGAGGGGATAGACCTACCCCATGCAGGTACTGCTCGACTTACAACAGTTCATTTGGTGACCGAAGTTATAAGTTATAATGAAAAAAGTGACGTGACCATTGCAAGATCCCCATGGTCATAGGATCAAAATGCAGACGCTTGGCAATTGCTTCATATTTATGGTGGGGTCATGTGATAACCTTTTGTGACCTTCTGATGGGGTAGCTGGATTCACTTAACAACCATGTTACTAACTAAATAACTGAGTGATTCACTTAACAAAATGGGGCAAAATTCACAACTAATGTCTTGCTTAGCAACATAAATTTTTGGGCTCAGTGGTGGTTGTAAGTTGAGGACTACCAGAAAAAAAAAAGGGAGATTCACCCTTTCTCTATCTTTCTGCCACACCTTCTCGTTCTTTTTCCCTGTGAAGAGCAGCTGAAGGAAGGGCAAATAATCCTGAAGGAAGGGCAAATAATCCTGGCAAAGTCTGAACAAAAATCACAAAAATCTTCTGATATTACACGGAGGAAGGGGCCAAAGACGATCCCCACTCAAAGGCTAAGAATTAAATAGGCTTTAGGATATTCAAGTCTTTTAATATTAAAATATTCCATTTCTTATACATACGGTAAGTCTTTTATGCTTCAGATGCCTGTGGTCAAACAGTTTCTGATGGTTTTCAAAATGTGTAAGATTACAACATTCTGGTTTACCAAAAGCAAAGAAGAAATAGGAACACACCACAATTCTCACCTTTTCAAACACCGCAATTTGGTATGTCAATGTGATACCGTTTCTCTTATCTCTGAACAGAATAAGAATTTATACTCTAATCTATTCTTCTGTTATGCCTCCCATTAACCTTCTGTTTTAGGTTTCCTGGCTGATTTGCAAGGGAGGGATGTACATATGTGCACTTGCCCGCTCCTTTGGGCAGCCCGGTTCTGAACAGCTCACAGCCTGGTAGTGGACAAGGGCCCGGGGGTTGGGGACCCCTAGTATAGCTGACGGTTTGTGAAACCTGGTGCCACATGCCGGTTCCACTTGATTTGAGTTGTATGGAGCCTGTCTTATATGATATAAGTCAGACTGCATGACTACGACAGGGAAGCCCCACGCTCAAATCCCAAACAGCTATCATGCTCCTAGAATCACCTGACCTCATTAAGTCTTAAGACTACAAGTAGTCCTTGTTTTACGACTGGTCATTTTACAAACATTCAAAATTACGATGGCTACAGAAAGGGTGCTTTAGGGTCGTAACACACCCACAGCCAACATAAATGGTCAGAGCGTACTCTTGCAGCCATGACTGCATCTTGCATGGGTGGCCTTTATGACTTGTTGCATTCTGCGTTGATATGACTGCAATTTGCAATGGGGTTTTTTTGCCAGTTTTCAAAAACTACCCATTCACATGGGCAAAAAACACCGGTCAAATGAAAGGGTTCTCTTAATGACTGCAGGCTTTGGTTAACGATCATCCCAGAAAAAGCTTATTTCTGGTCACGTGGGTACGGTCGACGTAGGACTGCAAATCTGTGATCAATTATTTAATTTTATTTTACATTTTTTGTCCCAC